AGACACCGTTCGTCCAGGCCAACACTCAAAAATTCTATAAAAAGTTACGACGATTAACGAAGTCTTCAAACCGGAGCATACTCATCTAGTCAGCTATGTAAAAATCTGATGATCGATGTCCAGAGCATACTTGACTTTCCTTACGCGACTATGATGAGGTTCGAATAGCGTTTACTCTCTTGAAGAACAAAAAAACAGAACCGATGGCTTAACGGGTGAGCTATTGAAATATGGCGGCGTCGAAGAGCTGACAAGGTGCATGCATCGTGTTCTTTGCAGAATATGGTCCGATAAAAGCCTGCGCTACGATTTAAAGCTAAGTGTTCTATGCTGAATTTGGTATCTTCGGAAACTTATACGACTTTTTACACTGACGTTGGATAACACCAGAAGTTAAGGCCAGAATTGGGATGGCATTGGGATCGATGTCTCTGATTCGTTCGGTACCAAAAGAGGTTTCAGACAGGGTAGCTCCTAATACCGCGACTCCTTCAACTTGATACTGGGGAAATTGATATCAACGGCCTTAACAACCGCACCGTTGGTTCAGACTTGACAAAGAAACGAAACGTAGGGGTGCCATAGTGAATGAATACAAGAGGACCAGACGAAATATCTCCTGTTATCAAAGAAAAAGTCATCGCATGCGCCACTAGGCTCCCACGTCACTGTTGACAGTCATAACTTCGATGTCGTAGATAATTTTGTCTGTCTTGGAACCATTATTAACACAAGTAATGAGGTCAACGTTGTATTTCAACGCAGGATCACTCTTGCCAACAGCTGCTACTTTGGACTGAGAAGGTAATTGGAAAGTGAAATCCTCTCTAGGCGAACAAAACCCAAATTTACAAGACGCTCATCATACCCGTCCTATTATATAAGGCAGAAGCGTGGACGATGTCGATATCCGATGATGTGGCCATGGATGTCTTCAAGAGAAAAGTTCTGCGAGCGATTTATGGTCCTTTCGGCATTGGCTACGGCAAGTACCGTAGATGATGGAACGAGCTGTACGATGATATTGACATTGGTAGACGAATCAAGAGCAGATGATAAAAAAAATATTTTATTATAAAAAATTGAATAAAAAAAAAATTTGTAAAAAAAAATAATACAAAAAATTATTTGTGTAAAAAAAATAATAAAAAAAAATTTTTTTTTGTGAAAAAAAATATACAAGAAAAAAATATTTTTGTAAAAGAAATATTAGAAAAAAAGAAACTATTTTTATATGAATAAATTCAAAAAATGTGTTGTGAAAAAAATAGAAAAAATATTTTTTTGTTACAATATAAAAAATTAAATATGTTTTTTTGGAAAAATTTTAAAAAAAAATATTAATTTATGGAAAAAATAATAAAATAGGAAACTATTTTTTTGTAAAAAAAATGTGAAAAAAAAAGGTTTTGTGAGAAAAAATATTTTTTTGTTAAAAGAAATCTGATGAGGAAATGTGGTGATCTCCGAAACAGCTGCCACTTCTACCATTTTTCTTTGTTGTATAACAAATATTCAATTCATACAAACAACAAGGCCTCGTAGTTTACTTTATAAAGCTTAAAAAATATATTTTTGTGAAAAAATAAAAAATATTTCCAAAAAAAAAATTTATGAAATAAAATGTTTTAAACAAAATAATTTTTTTTATTTTTAAATTTATTTATATGCAAAAAAATAGCTTGTTTTCCCCACTGCCTCCCTAAAGAATGCTCGCTTTTGTTCTCAGTCTATCTATTTTTTAATTTTATTGAAAAAATTGATTTTATAGGAAAAATTTTTTTTTAAATATTTTATAGAAAAATATCATATTTGCTCTACTGTGCGTCTCAAGGATTCTCATTTTGTTCTCAGTCTACATATTCTTTAATTTTATTGAAAGAATTGATTTTATAGGAAAATTTTTCTTTTAATATTTTATAGAAAAATATCATATTTGCTCCACTGTGCGTCTCAAGGATTCTCATTTTGTTCTCAATCTACATATTCTTTAATTTTATTGCAAGAATTGATTAAAAAAATATTTTATAAAAAATTTCTTAAAAATATTTTATAGAAAAATATCATATTTGCTCCACTGTCTCCCTCAAGGATGCTCACTTTGTTGTTTGTTAGTCTATGTATCTAAACAAAAATTGCGCATTTTGCATATGTCAGCCCGCCAGAGGCATTACACACACACTCACATACACACATAACCATAAAAGACTGTCCTTACGAAAAGTACGACGCGAACACACATGAAATCCTTTGCCTAAGATTCTTTGCACACGCCGAACACAAGAGAGCTTGCAAGCAAATAAAGTGCTGATGATACACAAACAAATAAGTAGAAGAAGAAGAAAGCAAACAAGCAAACAAGAAAGAAAGCAAGATAGCCAGTAATATACAAAAGACACCAAAGGAAGGTGGGAAGGGAGGTGGAAAAAAATATGCAAGAAATAATAGAAAATGTTTACATTTTGCATTTGAGTATGCATTTCATGCAATGACCAAAAAGCACACGTCTAACATGGAATAAAGAACCCCTGCAAGGAGGCGAGCAAATGAGACCAAACAGCGGTTGGTCGGGCTGAGAAATGAGTGTTGTTGGGAAGTTGTAGTGCTGCGGCAGCGTTGCGGAAAGGGTGGGGCAGCCGCTCGAATGAGCAACGCAAAAGGCAATTTATCATAAATATTTGTCAAGGCTGGCGGGCAATATAAAGACAAAACATAATAAAAAGTACCTAAGGGAGAACGGAGAGAGGCAGGGTGTGCTGATGACCACAGTGGGAGGCTGTACTGAGGCGCTGCGAGGAGCGCTGCACAGTGCCATGCATATTTGGTAGAAATCACTGTTTTGGTTGGTTGGTTGGTTGGTTGCTTGGCTGGCAACATAGTTATTTTACGGTTTAGCGCACAAGCTGCAGTCCATCTTAAATTTATATTATTTATTCTTATTTTTTTTTTATTCATTATTTTTTTAATGTTAATTTTTTTTTTAGCTAAAATTCAGTGTGTATGTGAGTGTGTGTGACGAATTGCGCTGATGGCGCTAGTCATTGGTTTGGGTTGGCATCCAGCCGCGCATAATGAGGCATGTCCTTGTTGCTACCATTCCCTTGATAAATGCATTGAACTACGCCAACACACACACTCCCACTCACACACGTGCATACATGTTTAATTATGCTTACAAAGCAAATTAACATATAAATAAAAATTTAGTTTAAGAAAGACTTAGAAGACGCAGCAAAATATAACAGAGAGTCAGTCATAATTTGTGGCTAACAAGCTGTGAAATTGCAAAGCTCTTGGCACCGGAGTGGAATTCGTTAAAAAATCCATTTTAAATTGAAAAAAGTTCCAAAAAGTTATTTAAGGTGAAGGTGAAAAGCCACGTGTGATCTTGTATTACATCAATAGTTGCCCTAGTTCGGTTAGGTGGAGTCACTCTGATCTCATACTTTCTTTTTGTGCCCTCAAAAAGATCATTTTGTTGAGTTTTCAGACTTAAAAGTCGGCTTTACCTGGTGAGAACTATGTTGCGGCATCAAAGTTGTATCCAAATCAGCTTAGAGAAGATATAAAGCTATTTCCCACTTCCTCCTCTTCTGAAAAAATTTCGATGGCACAGCTTTGACGCACAAAATTGAACGACAGTGCAGTGTCAGGCACCCTACCGAAGTAGAGAGTCACTTAAATACAGGCATCCTCGTCATCGTCGAATTACTTCGGACTAGATGGTTTTCCAAAGCGTCGCATAGGCAAGTGTTTATATAATTGACGCTTCATAACCGCTGAAGCGATTTTTGGCCGAGTTCTTCCTACACTTTGTGGTTTAACGTCTTGTTGATTTTCCAACAAATGAAGAGACCTACAGTTTAAACTAAAGTCGCCTCCAAACGGCTGAAGGGTTTTTACGAGGAGCATTTATTTCATGTCCGAAATACACTCGCAGGGGTGGACATTCCCTGCCGAGGGGCGGCCGTAATTAAAAAATTTTATTTAATTTTCCATAACTTTTGGGATATGTAGCCGAGCCTTTCGAATGTCAGTACGCAATGCTAACCACTTGACTACCGCGGCCACCAAGTACTTACCCGTCGAATACTCAGTATAGACAACACACACGTGCCCATCAAAAGAACTTGGTGAAATAGTGAAACCTTTTAATTTATTGTCCCTTCATGCCGATACTATGTGCCTTGAAAACCTTGTTAACTTCCATCTCAAGAAAACTAGATGCTACGAATTGTGAGTTCAAGATTGCGCTCACGGATTACGCGCTCAGTGGCAGTGAGCACACGACTGTTCAATGACTGCAGGATGCCTGCATCTTATGTTCGTTGATAGTTGCCGAGTACATAGCTAATTTTTTTCTGAAGCAAAAATTTTCCGTCACGAAGAAGTTCAACATAACTTCCCACGGGTAAGGAACTCTGGAATTAACCGCGGTATGAGATAAATGATAGCTAATAGTTGCCAAGACATTCGTGTCGTTATACTGGCACGATACACAGCCAAGGAATCTCGCTTCCGCCTAATTCCACAAAAATTATTTTATAATTAAGATATTGATGACCCTTTGATGATTAAAAGATGTCAGTGAAGAACTCATTCAAAAAGTTTTTTTGTATTCCTCCATCCATCTCCGCACTATATAGCATGATGGGAATGATGAGGGACTAGTAGAGTTTGGTTTCTGTTCGTCGGTAGAGGACTTTACCTTACCTGGAGATGAGCAGCTGATTTCCCTGGCTTTGACTCTACATTCGAAGAATAGCACTCGAGTTTGGAGAGCACAAATCTTGAGCGAGAAACTCTTTTACCGTATACTACTTTTTCTCTTTTGATCCCCCTCAACAAAAGTTTGCTGGAATCGGTGAAAGTCCTGTCCGCTTTATAAATTTAATTTTTCTTTGATTTAAAAAAATAATTGACAAATTTATTTTAAAATTATTTCTGTGCTTTTTTTCTTGCCTTAAATAATTCATTTAAATAAATCACTTAAACAAATAATTAAAACTAAATTTTTAAGATAAAATAAAATCCAAAAATAATTCGATATCTTAAATATATCGACCCGCCCATAATATTCCAAAAATAAGAAAAAGGCATTAGACGGCAGTAACACACACCCACACATGCGCATACGGCCAATTACAGATAATTCCATATCAGCCAAATCGCCGCGCCAACCATCAGCACCAAATCCATGGGCAGCATAAATTTCCCCCGCATCGCCGCCTCCACACGTTCGATTTCGATAATTTTACGCGCGCAACGCAGCCACTGCGTCACTGTGCTCGCCTCCTGCGCCGTGAGCTCGTACTCCAGCTTCGGCGCTGCGTCGTGCTTACGCAATGCAATTGTGATACTTTTACTGCCGTTCAATTGCAACTCCAGCGTGGACCATTCGTAGCGATGACGATAGGCCAGCCGACGCTTACGCACTTCGGTGCAGATAAGACAACGATCGAATAGAAACACTTTGGCGGCGTATTTCTTGCGCGAACGATGATGGTATGCCTCGAAATCGGTGGCGCGACGGAAGTAGCCTTGCGCGGCGAGATTGAGCTGTTGTTTGGGGTAGTAAAGGTTTGGTGTTAGATGGATATTTTCGTATTTTTTTATTTATTTTTTTATTTTTAATAATGGCAACTCACCTCGGCTATCTCGTCTATCGTTGGCACATCCTCCGCCTGATTGACAACATCGAGTAGACGACGCATGCGCGTCTCCAGCTTGCAAACCGACGTCAGTACGGGCTTACAGCTAATGCCGCTCTTATAAAATTCCTGTTGAGGGAGAGGAGGAGTGGAGGAGAGCGTTATTTTTGATTACTCATTATTATTGGTTAAGCTTAAGTCCACTTACTGATATGAATTGCTGCAGCAGCAAAGGATATCGCGTCAGTCTTTGTATGGGCTGCACAAGGAAACTGTCGATGCCCAATTTGTCGTTTATTTCATTTTGCACATTCTGAAAGAGATGAAGAGAAAGAGATTTTTATGTGTAAATGAATCTAAGTCCAAGTTCTCAAAAAAAGGCGCTAGCCGTTCGAAGTAGGATTACAACTGCAAAACCCTCTAGGGGCGGTAAACTTTAGAGACCTCAGCGACATTGCGAGGACAAAGATGCGGCGACTGCCCCACTTTGTAAGCTCCACTCACTGATTTGATTAGCGAATAGGGTTCATTTGCATCATCAGTAGTCTCACAAAGGGTCCGCTTTGGGCCTAGGTGTGCTAATGCCCAGCAACTTTTTCAACCAACCAACCAAATGGTACAGAGGTATCTATTGTACTGAGGAAAATACTTGAATGAAACCTACCCTATCTCCTTCTTTTCTTCTACAAAGCGCAGCTATCTTCGGGCAATCAAAGTGAAGTGAAAACCCCCAGAGCGTCTTGTTTCGAACCACCCTCTATGACAACAAAAAAGTCAGCCTTGAAACCTGTCGCAGAATCAGTCCTGCAGATACTTATGGAAAGATAATGCTAATTGCAGACGCAAATCGACAGAAGAGGCTTCGAAGAAAACCTCCATCTATATTCAAAACAGTACGTTGCATACTCCAAATAGGAGGTAGAACTCGGCTGAAAACCGCGTCATTTTTTTTTATTATATTTTTCCTTTTTTTCTCGAAATACGTTAAAAAAAAAACAGACAGACATATTAAAAGTTTTGGAACTTCAACTTCGGTGGCCCTAAATAGTTCTCCCTCCGCCCATTTTTCCTTGATATATTGATATAAAATTTACCTGCAACCAAACTCGTTGCTCTTGCCGCAGCTGCATCGAGGCCTTTTTGTTCATCATAAATATCACATAGCAATAGAATTCATTTTTCTGCAAGGAAAATAAGAAAAATAAAATTATTTGCAAAATTAATGTAAACAAATGCAAAAAGTATATAAATGCAAACCACATCCGCAGCGATAATAAATGGGGTTTCCTCTTCTATTGTATATACGTATGTAATTTTTATAAATAAAATATTATTCAAGGAAAAATGCAAAAAAGTATAAGTATTGTGTATTGTTATTTGTATAAACTAAATTGAAACATAATTATATATATATATATATATATATATATATATATTTATGTATTATATGAGTATATAGATTTTTTGTAAGCATATATATTGTACTTGGAGACAAGAATATTCATTCCGCCATTGCCAAGCCTGTGGTGGTTGCATGAATAAATTATTTATTTATTAATTTTAATATTGTTAATATCATTTTATACTTGATATTTTATGTTATTTATTTTTATTTTTTTATTTTTGTATGCTTTAATTTTTTTACTTTTTTATTTTTATTTTAAAGATTTAAAAAAACTCTTTTCTTTAAAATTCTTGCTGGTTTGTTAAATTTTGTGTCCTTTTTTTTATTTATTCATTTTAATATTGTTATTATTATTTTTTACTTGCTTTTTTGTTTAATTTAGTTTATTTTTTTTATTTTTTTCATAAATTAAATTTCTAGTTTTCCTTTTTTATTATTTGAAAAGAAAAATATTTTCTTTAAAATTGTTTATTTATTTATTTTAATATTGTTAACATTATTTTTTACTTGCTATTTTATTTTGGTAATTTAATTTTTTGTATTTAAGTTTTATTTATTTATTTTTTTTTGTTTTTATTTTTTATTTCTTAAAAAGTGTTTTTCAATCATATCCTTGCTGTTTTGTTAAATTTTGTTTCAACGCATGAATTTCATATTTATTTATTAACTTTAAAATTGTTATTATTATTTTGTTACTTGTTATTTTATTTTTTTTTTTGGTTTTATTTTTTATTATATAAAAGAAAAAATTTCTTTTCTATAAAATTGTTGCTGGTTTTTTAAATTTTGTTTCATCTATTTATTTATTTGTGTGCCACTTTTTATTTATTTATTTATATATTGTTAATATCAAAATTTAATTGCTTTTTTGTTTAATTTATTTTTTTATTTTTTCATAAATTAAATTACTAATTTTTTTTGCTTTTCTTTTTTATTATCTAAGAAAAATATTTTCTTTAAAATTTTTTATTTATTTATTTTAATATTGTTAACATTATTTCTAACTTGCTATCTTTTTTTATTTTATTTCTTTATTATTTTAAGTTTTATTTGCATTTTTGTTTATATATTTTTATTCATAAATTAAATTTATAATTTTTTTTGTTTTGTTTTTTTTTTATTTTTTATTTGTTATTTTATTTTAATAATTCTTATTTTTTATTCTTTTAATTTTTAATTTTTTTTGCATATTTTATTTTTATTTTTATGATTTAAAAAAAAATATTGTCTTTAAAATTGTTGCTGGTTTGTTAAATTTTGTGTCATTTAATTATTTTTTTGTGGGTCATTTATTTATTTTATCATTGTTAATGATATATTTTATTTGGTTTTTTTTTAATTTATTTTATTTTTTTTTATATTTTTTCATAAATTTAATTTCTAATTTTTTTGCTTTTCTTTTTTATTATTTAAAAAAAAAAATATTTTCTTTAAAAATGTTTTTTTTTATTTATTTTAGTATTGTTAACATTATTTTTTATTCGCTACTTTATTTTATTTATTTTTATTTTGTATTCTTTTAATTTTTTTTATTATTTAAAAAAAATATTTTCTTTAAAATTGTTTATATATTTGTTTTAATATTGTTAACATTATTTTTTACTTGCTATTTTTTTATTTATTTTTTATTTTTGTATTTTTTCAATTTTTTTACATTTTTTTTTCATTTTTTTATTGTTTAATTTATGATTTGAGATTTATGTATTTTGATTTGTAAACAAGTTTATTTATTGCCTTCAATTTCGCACATTGACCCACCTTTTCGAAATTTACTCGACTTTAGAAAGAAATTATCTTTTCATAGTCAAGAAATATTTACATAAATTAAATTTTACACTCACATAAAACATAAAATATGTGCATATGTAAATACGCGAATGACGAGGTCAGCACGAGTGGCGGATGATTAATAGAATTGCATAAAAATTTACATATGTACATACTGGAATTTTAAATTCGAAAAAAAGATAAAAATATAAAGTCATTTCGAAGACGTGACGAATAAAAGTATAAAGGGAAGAGTAAAATACTTATTTTAAATGAGTATAAATAAATATTTGATTCAGTATGCAAACCGTAAAAATGCCCATAAATAAGTCGAGTTTTAATGGGTTGCCATGCTCTTAGATCTCTACTTTAAGGACATTTCCATTCAAGACTGAAGGTTGTTGTACGAAGTATTTTTTATTTATACCAAACAGTATCCCTTTCTCAAACAGATACGGGAAGAATAGAACTTAAAATGCATACAATTATAATCCTAGGTTATCATTGTGAACACTAAATCTGAACCCAAGAGGAGCATTTTAGGTTTTGGATCCCTTTAAACGGAGTGCGTACCACTTAATTACTTTATGGCAGCGTGAATTCTAGGCAGACTTAGCTGTGAATTGCAATAAACAAACCAAATTGAGGTAACAACCACCTGTGAGATATAATAAACATCAAAAACTAGGTCAGTTAGAACTAACTGTGTGCAGAGCATGCATAGAAGAGTCCAAAAATCTGGAGCCCCAACTCTTTATGGTGGCCGATCGTCAGGCGATTAAGGCGTCGTATCTCTTGCGATGCCCCGAGCGCTGGACCTACGAAAAGACTTGCACTTAGATGGAAGAAAATAAGCAAATTTATTAAATCGGGTATGAATCAATTACCACGGTGGTTGCCGTCTGGTTATTTGGCAGGAGAGATAAAATGGTTGCAAATAACTGGATCAAAGATCTGAGGTAGGCATACAAAAGGTCTTCATATTTTTACAGATGATTCTAAATGAAAGAGTGTCGGTTTCAGTTCACTGCGCCCAACTTGAGAAAAAAAAGTCATAGCAATTACCCAAGTATTGAAGTGTGTTCCAAGCTAGTGTTATATGCTGACTTTCAAGGGAGAAGAATATAAATTTATGTGGATGGCTAAGGGACTATTAAGGTCTTAATTTCATACGGGTCGAAGTCAACTGGGGTCGCACTATGTAAAGAGGCGATTTAAAACCTGTAAGAAAATATTAGACTTTACCCTTACCGGGTGTCAGATCACGCGAGCAATGAAACTAATGAGATAGCTAACGAATTGACTAAAGCAGGTGTCCTTTTAGAGCAGTCCATACGAACCTTTCCCTTCAGAGAAATGATGGAAAAGCACGAAGGATTACTACTTTGTCAGGCAAACCGACCTTCGGAACGAGCGAAGGGCTATAAAACCGACAAAACCTTGTGCAAAGCTTACAAAGTTTTTACTTTAAGCAAAAGTGGTTAGCATTGCGTACTGTCATTCGGAAGGCTCGGGTTCAAGTCGCCGAGCGACCAATATACAAAAAGTTGTGGAAAATCCATTTAAATAAAAAACTAAGTTAAATGTTCTGATTGCGGCCGCTCGGCAGGGAATGTCAACCCCTTCTAGTGTATTTCTGACACGAAAATAAAGCTCCTCATAAAAAATCATCAGGCGTTCGGAGCCGGCTGGGTATAAACTATTGGTACCTCGATTTGTTGGAAAAACATCAAGACGCAAAACCACAAATTGGAAGAGGATATATATAAAAACACCGGATTTTAGGCCGCTGATCAGACTAAATTGCAAGCTTTTAATATAGGTCTGACTGAGGGGCTTGGGGTTTAAGAATTTTACAGCGATAAGGCATGCCTGACAAAAGCGACCGCAGCAGTGGGGGTTTTAAACCGAAACGACCCGGGTTTTTATCCAGCCAAGGACTGTCATTCCCACAAAGTTCCCCAAGGAACCGCTAAAACAACAACAATAATAACAACAACAACAACAAAAATAACAAACGGAATGTTTGGAGGACAGTGCAGCATGTAATCTGTGAATGTCAAACATTCGACAGGCAAGAGCTATGATTACTTTGTCTCAGAGAGTCAAATGGTAAGACTACTTCAATTTGTGAATAGAACAACTACATTCTTTACACTGGAGATGCTATAAAGAGTGTAGCAGTGCGGTTTGGAAGTATGCCATGTGCCTGTCAATATTATGGGTGTATTATTGTCCATGGGAGACCCAGAGATCCGTGAGTTTAACCCAGCCTAACCTAATTGAATTGTTTTTTTTTTTTTTTTTTTTTTTTTTTTTTTTTTTTTTTTTGAATATTGCTCTACTACTTATTTGTACTTAATTATTGTGTGTATATTTATATATATATTTTTTTATATTATATATGCATTTAAAATTTTTTAAAATTAATTTGCGCTTATTCGAGTTCAGTTTTCTGAAATTTTCTATTAAATTAATTATTCCACGCACATACATATACATATATCGCCTTGGTATGTTACACAACAGTAGCATTGATTGAGTTTGGCTACGCTTAACATGCGTCCATCACACACATACTCCTACATTCCTTGCTCTGAATTGAAAGTGTCAAAATGTAGTGAATCGAAAAACTAAAAAAGAATTAATAGTCAAAGACACACTTCAACTTACTCTAAGCGATTGTAATGAAGACATGAATATTTGGTCATTTTACCTTCAACACAATATTATTACTTTTGTATATTTGTATGCACGTGCTTCATTGAGCTCATTGTCGTTATTAGATGTTTTCGAACACCTGTGTTCAAAAAGAAAAAAATAAACAAATAAATAAAAGTCAACAATTCTTATGCTAATTAAACGCCAGTTGTAAAGAATTTGAATTTTTTTAGTATTCTATTTCTTTATAAACTAAAAATAAATAAAAAAAATGAGAAAACAAGGAATTTCCTTCCTACTATATTTATTTGCATTTCTTCAAATTAAAAATCACCACTTTTGCGACGT